GCTTCTTAGTCGGCTCTTTAGTACAAACTTAAATTCAATTTCGTATTGAAGGTTGTTTGAAAGGCGTCCCGAGTTGCGTACAACACTGCGTATACTTAATATTCAATTTAAATACTCGTATTATGCTTGGTCTTTAAAAATAATTTCATAAAATTATTTTCTGGAGAGCACTTTAACTTCTTTAACTTAATAACTCTTTTTGTTTGCGGTGAAGTGTAGAAGTTAAAGCTTTAAAAAATTTTAATGTATATAGAACTTTTAAAATTTTAATATAAAATAAATATAATAGCAAACATATAATATGTTTATTATTTACATATTGTTAATGTATAACAAAAATTTTATTATTAGGGAAAATTAAAAAAAAATAAAAAATGAATTAAACTACAAATTAATTTCAGTTATTTATTAATTTAAAAATATTTCGGTAATGATTTAAAAAAAAAACACGAAACTAATATTGTTGGAAGGTCACTTGGCAGAAAATCCGAACACATGTTTTTAACTCGACAAAATAGGTTCACAGACACACATAGTACATTAAGTAATTTGTTAATGATTCAAAAAATGCTAAGGCACTACACATGTTTTTAACTCGACAAAATAGGTTCACCTACACACATAGTACACTAAGTAATTTGTTAATGATTCAAAAAATGCTAAGGCACTACATAGCTTACTGCTGGTTTACTTAAAAACCATCTTTATTACTCTTTAGTACTGTCTAAACAATATGGATCCATTTGAAGCGATATTAATTAATTAAAATTAGAAACTATGTTACTCTTATGTGGGTACTGGGACATAAACGGCATGAGGGCAATGAAATAACAGAAGCCCTAGCAAAAAAAGATGCATGTACTTCTTTCATTGGTCCATAGCCGTTTTGCGGAGAATCAAAACATCAAAGTTGACGCTATCCTTGGCCTTAGCAGAAACGATATTAATATCTCCGCTGAACTTCTTACAGGACAATGTGCACTCAATCACCACATGAAGAATTTAAATACGGTAGAAAGTGATTACTGTCGAATCTGTCGTGGGGAGAAAAAAATATCAGAACATATTCTATGCCAGCGGTGCCAAAACATAGACTTAAATTAAATAGGTAAACGTAAGACCACATCAATTACGAGACTTTTAAATAGTCTAGAATTGTTTTAGTTGGGCTCTTAGAAGCACAATGGATCTTTTAGGTCAGATTGCATTCAATGTATATTATTTAATAATAATAAAAAAAAGGTAATATATACGATATATATACTATTCGATTAAATAAAAACAAATAAATACTAGCTTATTAAATAAGTTTTAAATATTAAATTTAAAAAGAAAAAGTTACATATAACTTATATGATATAAGTTAGAAAACTTTTTAAATATCAAAATTTTCCTTAATATAAATAATTTTAGATCCTATAGAACCAAGTATGCCATATGAGATGCAAACAGTGTAGGTTTATAGTACTATCATTTCCAGCAGGATATTATCTGTGCTTAAGGAAAATGAATCATGTAAGTTATCTCAATGATGGTGAAGTGACATGCGTTGTCATAGGAATAGATATATTATACTACAATAGTTAAGATAAATGAAAATATTAAAAATTCTTTTCTTACATTAACACTCCAAATGCAAATAGTAGATTAGTTTTATTTTAGTTTTTAAAATTTTGTTCATGAGCACATTTCTGTGAATACTAAATGATCATATAATTTAATTTGTAATTTCAGTTTTAAGAATATTTATTTTTTTTTTAAAAAAGATAAGAAGGAATTAACTTGGTCTAGCAAAAAAAGGGCAAACGGCCAAAGCAAACAAATATTATAATCATAAGGTAAATATAACCGGCTGTCTGAGTCCACACAGAGACCCGAGAAATCCATAGGGAAACTTTGTAAAAGATTAAAATTGTTTTATTTGTATGACATATTTTTTTAATATTTAAGTGCATTACTTGATTCTTCTTCTTCTTGAGTTAGTGCTATTACACACTTTTACTCTATAATGGCTGGGGGGCTTATCTCTACCCCACACTAGGCTTTAACTAGGCTAAAAAAAAAAATCATATCATTTATTTGTCTTTTAGTTGATGACGGACCTTAAATCAGCATATCTTCCTGAGAGTGCATTATAAATTTGGTATTTAGACTTTAAATTTAAGATCTAGTACTCGTTACAAAGTTTAAACTTTTTATATACCCACAAGTATAAATACTAAAAAAAAACTCTTTGTCAAATCATAATTAATATTTACTTTCAGATATAATATTCCAAAATTTTAGTTTGTTGATATATTATTATTAACATTTTTGGCACTTTAACATAAATAATGGAATCTACTGTAAATGATCCACATGCAAAAGTCAACAAAAATTTAAATAAGGATCAAAAGTTTTTAAAGGTGAGCACTGTGTTGAAAGTATAAATATATTAGTAAAAAACATTTTTTTTAGAAAAATGAAAAAGTTTTTGACCTCGATGCATACCCACAACCCATTAAAGTTTGCTCAGATGAACTTACGTCAGGTACCGATGTTGCAGAGTCCATAGTGAGTGAGAATCTATTACAAAATTTATATGATATGAAATCCAACTTAAAGTATATGGATGAACAAATGAATCGTATAGAAAATAGATTTTGTGAGTTCGGAAAATCTGATATTAAACAAATACCTACAATAGATGGAAAGAAAGGAAAGAAAGAATCCAACGAAACTAAACAACCGCATGAAAACAACCATCATCTGAAGGCAAGTGATATCACACTTAACTCTTCACAATTTTTAGAGAAGTCGCGTTTAAATGAGCATATTCTTGGAAACTTCCAGTTTTGTGATAATTTCAATAATACGAGCTCTGGAATACCAACACAACATAATTTTCTACCACATGCTGAAGAGTTGGCTAACGAGTCTCAGGTAAAAGCTCAATCATATGAGAGTTTCACTAGGCTCAATTGCGGTATCTCAGCTACACACTATTGGTCCCCATTTGTTAAAAAAACTGCAGTTGACAAAAGTGCACCAAGACAGAAATTACGTGTACCTGAACACTGGCGCCAAAATTTACATCGCAAGTTAAGACCATCTTTATGTGATGCAGATAATGAAAAATAATTTTATATGTATTTAATAATTAAAACAGTAGATCTCCATAAGCAAAATTTTAGATTTTCTATATCATAGGAAATCAAGTAATAAAAAAATTGATTACAAGCTCAATTCCTCAATAAGCTTTTTAAAGTAGAAAAATATTTTTTAATAATGTAAAATTTTATATATATCAGCATATGGGTAAGGATAAGATGATTATATTTTTTCATACTAGTTTTAGCATCCTTTTTTATGTATGAATTATTTAAGTAGTATCAATTAATATAATATTCTAATATACCGAAAACAGTTTGAATTGTCATGTCGATGAAGATTTTTCTGCGTTCCTTTGCTTTTAGAAGATATGTGTAAATTTTAATATTATAATATATATATAATAATTATAATCATTTTTCTAGACATATTTTACTTTATGCTATATGTGTATTTAATACCCCCTCCACCTAATCACTATCTATATATGTGTAAATTTTAATATTATATATGTTATAATTATAATAATTTTTCTGGATATATTTTACTTTATGCTATATGTATATTTAATACCCCCTCCACCTAATCACTATCTATATATGTGTAAATTTTAATATTATATATGTTATAATTATAATAATTTTTCCGGCCACCTACTCACTATCTAGCTGTGCCATACCCATGCTTTCTGGTTTATTTAATTTTAGTTCACTGACTAGCATATGACTTGCACATATCTCTCTATCCTAATTACTAAAATAAAGTTTCCACATTGTTGTGAACATATTCTTCATTCATTCCTAAGAGGTGATTTTAGTAGGTTCAAGCCTCACACTGTAGATTCAATGTATATTTAATATTAAATAAACTTTTGAGATTTTTCTTGCAAAGTATAAACAATTAAAACCATTTTATTACATGAAAACAATATTCTTTAATAATTAATAATTCCTGTTAAAACGGATATAGGTATTATGTTTGCTAAGATTTCATGTTACATTCGTAAATCCTATAACGTATATATATGTCCGATATATCTACTAGCTTTGTCTATCAATCTAATTAAATCACACTTTACACAGATACCTTTCGGGACTAGGCGCTGATCATTTGTCGGATTGACAGAAATGGGAGTACTATATTCTATTACTACAACATAAATTGAATAATCGGATATAAGTTTTCTTCCTTTTTAAAAAAACTGATCTCGTCAATTTTTTGGTGTTTTTGGTCAGATCAGAATTATCAATTCTTTACTTTTACAATTATTTTAAAAAGTAATTATTTTTGTATACACATGGTTATAGATATATCCAAATAAAAATACATATATTTACAATTGATAGGTGTACATTTTAACATTGAATTTCACATTTGACGTAACTATAACTGTCTATAATAACTTATATAAAATTTTATTCATATCGGTTCAGATTTAAAAACAGCTACCACATAAACCTTTTTTATTTTCTAATATATGTACTTGGAACTTACGCGTAAGTTATAGAATGTAATCTATGCAGTGATCAGTGAAACTGATATCGTAAATCTGATATTGATTGGAGATATCGAGATTTGGATATATATCAGTTGATTTACTGACATTTCAGCTTCTATGGTTTTTGTTTTTATAAAAATTCAATTTTTATATATCTTCTGAAATTTTTTTTAATCACTGATTTTAATTTAATTAATTTTTAATTAAATGCATGCAATCAATTGGGAGGGTTTCATTTCATTTCATATAAACCTTGGAAAAGTAAATCTAATTAATGTAAGTAACTTAAATTTATATTTCAAAGGAATATAATTTATTATATGTATTAACAAATTAACTAAATAATTATATTCGTTCTAAAAACATTAAATGTAATTTATTTGAGGAAAGGTAAAACACAATTCAAACTTACCGTCGACTACTTTGAATAATTGGCGAAAGGATTATCTCTAAACTGGAGGAAATGTTTTGATTTTGATTCTGAATTAGATTCTGGCTCTGATTTTGTATTGAATGTGAATTTTGAATTCGATTACGATTTTGATTCTGATTCTGATTTTGATTCTGATTCTGATTATGATTTTGATTTAGAATTTCGTTCTGATTTTGATTTGTATTTGAAGTTTGATTGCGATTGAGCATGTTGTTAGCATTCAAGGAATTAAAATTGTCGATATTGGTTGTTGGTTTTGTTGGTTTTGTTGGTGTATTATGAGTTGGGGTAGAGGGATTTGTGGTATTGTTGCTTGCGTGTTTTTTGGTAGCATTCACATTCACATTTGCATTACAATTATCAAGATTAATATTTTGTAAAGCGGATACATTTGCGGAAACGGAAACTGTTGCGGATGTTGGTATGGAATTAATCTTATTTGACGTTGACGACTTTGTTGAAGTTTCTGCTGTGGGAGATGACAGCTGCTCATTAAAATTGCTATCATTATTATGAATACCATTGTTGTTAGTGTTGTTGCTGCCATTGTTGCTACTATTAAATTTTATGTTGGTAGGGTTGCTCAAATTGCTATTACTATTGCTATTGCTATTGCTATTGTTATAGTTGTTGTTTAAAGTTGGTGACATTGTCGTCATAGCATTCATAATTGCATTGCTGAATTTATTTGCATCTTCATCGTATTGATCCGTTTCGATTTCATCAACATGCTCCTCCTCTTCATCATCCTCTTGAATGTTATCCTCACTGCTGGGGGATTGCAAGTGCGAATTGGAGTTGTTTGTGTTGGTATGGTTGGTGCACTATTTTTGGGTTTTTAACGTACAAACAAACGAAAAAAAGGGGAAAGGATTTTTTTGTTGTAGTTTTTGTTCAAATTTTAACGAATTTCGTTTTAAGAGCAAAACACATACAAACAAATAAAATACACGGAAAAAAATCACGGTAAATAATGAGACCAAAATTCATGCTTAAAACATGCAACAGCAACAATTACACAAAAAATATATACGAGGATGTACTAGAGTTGTTTTACATACAAAAATATTATATTTTTTCATGACTACATCTTGAATGGAATTTATTTTTTAATTTATAAATAAATATTTTTTTTTTTTTGGAAGGAGTATATTATGGGTACAACGTGCAAAATTTATGCAATTTATTTGTGAGTTTACTTTTGTACGCTTGTTTATTTTATTCATCATATGTGGATGAAACATGCATATTCATACTTAATAAAGGACATTATGTTAAAAAAATTATTTGTTATATCTATATATATGTGTGTTTATTAAAAATTATATAAATATTTTACTTACAAAATTAAGTTACCGTTTTTTCTGTGAATTCTGTTATTTACTTTTATTTTACATCACAAATAAAAATAATTATAAAAATCAAAGTACACAAAAACATGCAAAATATATTTTTCATTATTTTAAACAAATAATTCATACAATGTTGAAAATATTTATATATACCCATATTTTATTTTTTTATTATTTCATATGAAAACAATAGTATCCATAATGAATATGAATATTTTAGAGTATTTTAAAAATATTTTAATTCAATTACAAATACACTAAATAGAATTCTTTTACCTAATGATAAATTTCATAACAAAATAATTGCACTAAAAATATTAAAAATATATTTGTTTTGTTTAAATTTGTTTAAAACAAATTATATTTTTATAAGCTTTAGTGCTTTATTTAATTATATATTAATATTCAAATTAATATGAGAGATTTGAACATTTTGACAGCTGCCACAGACTCCTTTGTGGAGTCTACATCCACCTGCAGTGCATGTTCTGCACATTTGAAGTATTCTACTTCAAAGAAGATTTGAGATTAAAACTAATTTTGCTTAGCTAAAGACTTAATGCAATTTATGTATTAATGGGATAAATGAAAATATTTTGATAACGTAACATACACAAATTTACTCACTCAGTCCTTTAATAAAATCAAAGCTAAATCTTTGAAATACTTGGACTAACCAATTAAGAAGTAACTTTGCACTTCAAGTGCACTTGCCGAATTTGTTTGCTTTTCAACTGACTTAGTTTTGCCATAGAAAGCAATTTGAGTAATAAAATTAATTGAAAATTGTCTTGAAAATAAATAGAATTATTCTAAGTAATAGAACATATCTACATATCTCTCTACATGTTATATATATATTTAAGACGTTTTCGTATACATCTTACATTGCATTTCAGTCACTGTTTAAATCTTTTATACATTTATAATCAGTATGAGTACATATCTATTATAATACAAATTAATTCTCTATTAAATATTAATTATATTATATTATTTTCATTATCATATTTACTTAAATGTATTTAATATTAAATTCCTTATTCACGATTTTGCTATTTTTAAAAAAGTGAAGTAATAAATATACTTTCTGAAAGAATATGAAAATATATTTTTTTATATATCCAAAATTGGTCCCTCATATAGTTTTTAAGAAAAAAAAATGTATTTAATGGTTCAATATTTAACACTATATAAATCAATATTTAAATTTGGTTAATACCTTAAATATATGATAGGAACAATATATTTGTATGGATTATACTTCACTTCATATTTTGTAGAAATATATAGTATGAATTGAACACCTTGAACTATAAATCGCATATTTATTAACAATAATACTATACTAAATGAAACTGATATGCAGTAAAAAAACTTTAATATTTATATAACAAAAATAATATATATGTAAAGACAACACTTTATAGATCGGTTGAAGATATATATGGTATATCTTGAACATATTTAAATACAAGTCCAACTTAGACTACACTTAACATATATCTCAAAGAAAAATTTTTTATTTATTGAGCAATAGTAACTCCAATAGTTATTAAAAATGATGCAACTATTTTATTAAACCAAAGCAAACAAAGAATATGTCACGATTTTTAAAATCTAAAATAATATACAATATATCTACAATATATGTATATAATGCTGGAACTTTTGAATATCTCAAGATGTAAACACCACTAGCATATAGCGTAATAAGAAAGTTGCTCAAAATATTTGACTCTATTACAATCTATTAAAATCCATATATACATATAGATACACTAATAGATTTCTATACAAAAAGAAATAATAAGTTATGTAGTATATAGATATAGAGTGTTATCTATAATATCACAAAGACCATTTCATATATATATATGTATATTATAACCATATACTTTAATATCTAATCTACTTGATATCAGACTATTTATTCAGCAAAACAAAATATTTTATAAAATTTCAGAGCTTCCGAAACTATTTAAACAATATCTTTTAACTTTCATAACAGAAAATCGTTTTTACCGGTAAAAAGACTTGTTGTTACATTTTTTTGTTTCCAGTTCTAATTTGAATCAAGATAAGATTACTGGAGCTGTAGCTTTTAAGTACACTATAAACCATAGTAAACGGCTAAGGGTAGTAAAATCTTTTGAGTACATCAAAAATATCAGTTAATAACTAAGGTTATGATTAACTTTTAAGAACATCGGAAATAGCTTTTCAAATAACTGATCTAATAAAAGTCTGAATGCTTCCACAGCTTAGTTTATCTTTATTTTTTATGCCTTATACTTATTATATTTTCAAAGTGCTCAATTTCAATTATATTAATTTCAATGAAAAATATTATTGAGCTTAGATAAATTCAAGAACATTATTAGTGAATTCTTCGGTGATCGTGAATTTCAGTTGGGCGATATGTTCTTTATCATGCAGGATCGTTTCAAACTGCCGAATTATGATCACAATTTCTAGCACACCATAATGTTATTCATTAGTTGTATTATTTTAAAAAAAGTTTTAAGAAGTCTAAACCCAAACTTAACGGTAATACTTCAAAACAGAATTTTCATTGTTTATTTATCAGTATAAATTTATCAGTAGCTATTTACCTAACCCTGAGTAAAACAAAAACAATTTATTTACTAGTTTTAATATTTAATGAATGTGGTTGTTGCAAGTTTAATAAAGGTTTGAATTAGATTCGAATAACTGTAACCAATTATTCCCAACTAAGACCATTTAGTTATTAAAAATGATTAGTAAAATGCAGTAACCGCTTAGCTTGGCTGTGCAGCAGATATAAGTGAAGCTATAAAGTTTTTGTACCTTACGCTGCAATTTACTAAATGATAGAGCTTACAGCAAGCAAAACTCATAAAATATAACTAATAAAAATATAGTATGCATAGAAAAGGCACACTTGTGCTCGTCCCGTCATTGCTAATGCTAAGCATTAGCAACGCAACGGCCAACACAGTTCCAAACTTATTCAATAGGAATCCTTAAGCAATATACCTTTTTAATCTCTTTAAAATAAAAAGCCATAAAACTCATAAAAGTACATTTATCATGTTCATACCTCTGCGAATGTCGTACAACAACACAATAGAACAACAACAGAACAACAGAACCAGCAGTGGAACTGACACAGAGGATAGAATGAAACTTTTTTAATTTGTATGACGAGTACAATTTGTATAATCACCTTCAGCGTTTTTCTGCAAGTTGTCAATGGAACATGACAATTGACCAAAGTCACAGTCACAGTCACAGATGGAAACTTGCACGCAAAGGTGCACATTCCGTGCGATTTGCATAGGCAACAACAGACAACGGACAACGGAAGGCGAAGCAACCGGTATTGGACGACGCACATCAGTCACAGGCAGGCGTGTCAAAATAATTACTTTTTAAGTCTACCATTTTTAATGTACAAATAGGAGACAGAAAAAAGCATAACTGGATTCAAAGAAGTAAAGAAGTCATAATCGTTCCTGATGAAATGTTATTCGTATTTATGCATTAATGAACAGACATGTCGGGTCAGTAAAGAAGGTGGCATTCATTTGTCTCTACTGCGAAATAGAATTATTCAAATACTAAATGACATATGTGCCAACGTATCCATCCCACTTTTTACTGATTCCTCCTCACATAAGAATATTTGATGAGTTTATAAAAATTAATAAAAATGCAAATCGTGTGGAAATATCCTTTTTATGCCATTAATTCATTACATTAACTTATGCATATGAATAAAACTAAAGCATTCAGCAATGCAATTAATTTTTTCATAAATTTTTTAGTTGGTTAGACAAATTTCATAAATAAATTCAAAAAACCAAGTCTTCATCCATCCCACTGCAGTTCAGAAAGAAAATGATTTGTTAAAATAATAGAATTTTAATTTTTCATATTCCGTTTTTTTATTCTGCCGGACGATGGTTTCAGGCATCGATTGTTCAAATGTTATCGAACAATTGATTTGCGGACTTTGATGGTGAAAGCAACCTGTTTGATGGATGATTGGTTTAGGAGAGCAAACACAATGCAAACTATATATATTGCGTTTTTATTGTGAATTATCCTTTGATAAAAACGTTATAAATAACAATGAAATGTTCAATTGTTTATTATTCTAAAAAAAAACTCTAAAATAAAATCAATAAAATATATAGAATTCAAAGTTTGAAAACTAAACAAACCATTGGAATTTAAAAAAATTTATAAGAGTATGTATGCGCATTGGGATTGCACTTAATAACAGATGAAATTGAAGTTGTTAATGTTAAAAAAAGAATATATTTGTTTAAGAACATAAAAAACTTGCAACTAGTTCAACGAACGATAGTATGGAGTATTAATAATAAATTGTCTTATAAGCAAGTAATTTCTACTTTAAGGAGGCGAGGTTGCAATTCTTCAAATTAACAAAGTACTTCGGTATGGATCTAGATTGTAAAGAG